TCCATAGGGTAGAAAAGAATAGGAATGGCACAACAGTGTTTTGTTAACATAATTTCATGTGTTCCAGAATAGCATGCTGTAAAGATATACACATACTGTTTCATCAAACTGTGTCGTGAATGTGATTTTCTTCGTTTATTTCAGTGGCTCCCAACTTCTGTTTACCGGGTGATTGGATGCGTCGCCGATTAAAAACATCAGATTCATGTTGGACATCGCCGGCGCCCATGCCAAGATTGTCTCGCTTGTTGAAGTTTGTCTTGTAGTTTATTTGCAGAGTTGACATTTGATATGAAATGTAATCTTTGCCTTGGATAGTAATATTCTGCATAAAATTTGTATAAAATAATTGTTGTACGCAGCAAGAATTTTCAACGAAACTTCTGATCAGAGAAAAAAAAAAGAAATGAATGGCGTCGACCCTGCATGTCGCTGGTTATATATTATAGATTTGTTTCTAAATCGCAGTACAGTACTTTATCAGCTCATATCGTTTCAAGGTATTTTATTTATTATGTATATTTATTATTGTGTCGGAAGGAAGTACCCATCAATTCCAAAAAAAATACGGTTCTTTTTGGACTTCACCTTTAACAAATTAATTTTAATGCAAAAAGTGTTTTGCTGAAATGATGGATGAAAACAAAAATGATAGTTATTTATTATTATTATTATTATTATTATTATTATGCGATTTTTAGGTAGAGTACTGCGCCAGCACTATTGATTTTCTCGTTGAAGGTAAAAATTGCGTGTGGGCAAATCTTCAGTTAGTCACTTAACTGTGCATTTGAAGATATTTTAAATATTTATTTTGAATTGAATTGAATTCTGAGATTCCGATAAGAAAACTATCAACTTCATTGCATGAAACTTTTGAGACACAAACGGTTTCATACAGTGACCGTTAAGTTTGAGAAAAGAACAAGTTGTTAATTAAAAATAACTTACAAACACTGTTCTTTCAAGTTATAATGCTTTGGAAATTATAGCGTTATGAAAATGATAAAATTTGTCCACGTGATTGCAGAATTGCCCATGTATAAGAAACGATCCTTTTTTTAATTGCGGACATGCGTTTGTGAAGCATTTTAAGAATGAACTTACTTTGGTTTCGGTGTTTTGATATTTTGTCTGATCAGTAACAGATACACATGTACTGTGCTGGGAGGGGTCTAAAACAATGTTAACAAAATGAAACCAGGAGAGAAATAGGGATTTTCACGAAATTACTCCGCATTCGTTATCGCAGTAGGGGGAATATATGTTACCAACGTGATAAAAATTGCCTCTTCTTGGGGCCACCCAAATTTATCAGCATTGCATGAGCTCCTTTGTGTGTTGTTTGACTTTTTGGCAATATCGCAAAGCAGAAATGTAAGTGCTCTCCTGGAAAAACTTCTTTGTTCATATGCATGAAAATATCTATTATTAATTGATATTTCTTTGGTTGTGATTGAGGGGTGATTGAGAGAAAAAGGTCTGATTAGATGCCAGTCCCGCGCGTCCTGTTGGGGTATTTTTGCTAAGTGTTTCTTGATCACTGAGCACCGGATACCAGAGTAAGGGTGTTAGCATTTATGGATTAATGAATTTTAAGTCACCGTTTTTGTTTCTGCGTAATCTTTTCAGTTTTGTTTGTATATTTTTCTTAAATGTCATGACTAGAATAAGCTTTGAAATTGACCATGTCTTTAAGCTGTTCCTGATTCGCACGTGTGCAAATTTAAGTTTTCGCTCAAATTCGTGCCATTAACCTACCAATATTAAGGATGTAATGAAATGAAAACAAAATAACGTAAAACACTCGATTCTTAAAATGACTATTTTGGTCTACCTTTTTCTGTGCGAGAATCAGCATGACGGCATAGAACAAGGTGTGCGTGAGTGCGAGAGCACGTGAGACGCCTATGTGAGATTATATGCATTTTGGAATTTCGATATCATTCACACCACTGAAATTGGACACTTTGCTCCTCAATGGAATTAGTAATCAATTATTATCGTCAACTTTGAACAAAATTTGACAAGTACGATATTATTTCAATTTATCTTCCAGTCCTGGTCAATTTTTTTATATGAATTTTGTTTTAGTAAGAGTTATGTCGAAATTCTCTTTTATATACATAAATAGAATTTGTTGTTTGAGCTGCAATTTCCAAAGTGCATAAAATCCTTCATATGTGTTAGTTAGTTTACTATCAGGTAGACTTCTTGTATATTTTTTGTAACAGCATAATTTATAGAATTTTTTAGAAATTTGACGCTATTGAATGGGTTGCTATCAACGTAGAAAAAACGTAACTTCACGTATTTTGTTTTGTATAAAACTTTGTTGAAATTACTTGGAATTTGTTGAAACAATAAATAATAAAAATAATGTACAGATATTTGTATGTTGAATTTCCTTTCATTTTTCACCTTCTTTCCCCTTTAACTCTCGTTCTGCAGTGCACGTCTTACCTATAGAGCCTCTTGTATTAGTTTACCTTGTTTATTTGAATAATTTTTGCAAAAGGTAATTTGCTGGGACCCAGGAGCGCCAGGTTTCGAACTTGGGACTTTTTGACTCAGAGGCAAACGCGTTACCTACTCCTCTAACTGTTCCCACCCACCCTCCTCTGGAAGACTTTCCTCTTATAGTAACCAAAGGGAAATTTCTGTAAAGCCCCTTGAAAAGTATTAAATGATTTACAAGTACCCGAACCAAGAAACGAACCCAAACCCGAGGGGTGCCACTGAGTCAATAAAATTATTATAGTAACTTAAGTAAACTTCTAAAAAAATCGTAATACATTAAAGAAATTTTAGAAACGTAAGCCAAGTTTGAAGCCCAACCCCAGGTTGCCGCTGAGAATCGCAACCGTCACAGAAATAACTAAGACATTTTGTATATTTGGAAAGTCTTTATTTAGTGCCAAATATGTATGTATTAATTATATCTAAGTATTTCATTGAAAAACTACCAAGTTTAAGAACACTTAAATCACTACTTAATCACTTTGAATGTAAGACATGCATGTAAGACAAAGTTATATCTCAAATGTGTAACATAACAAATGTATTACATTTCACCAATAAACGGTCAACTTAACTACTCGTTTATGGTTTGGTGTTATCAATATCTACAAGCATTTCTAAAAAATTAGAACAAATTTGAGAAATTGACAGTAATTAAAAAGATATAAAGCAGTTCATCAATTATTAAACAAAATGTGTGCGTCACTGACTAATAAGATCAATAACTTGTGACTATTGCTATAAATACACGATGTATTTGATTTATTATTACCATAGCATAAAACATGGAAAAAAGAACATATCATGAAAATCGCTGTCGGAAAAAATATATCAGTAAACTGTTTAACTTCCAAATGATCATTCTAAACACTCACTTTTGCCATATGAAAAAATTGTAAAATTGAGCTTTTTAAGCTTTTCTGGACAATCAAAAGTTTCCATATTTATGGTATTTATAACGTCAAGTCACCACTCGTTACCTTGCTGGTACTTTCGCCCTAAAAAGTTCGGAAACATTGTTACTTTGAAAAGTTATAAAATAACCATATTTAGTCCCGGTAAATATTTTAACCAAATATTGTTGGTTAATGAACCACAATTTGTTAATCTTTATTTGCACAGGAAATTTTCCCAACACATTACATTTTTTTATTATTATTGAAAAACAATTTCACGTTTCCGAACTTTCTTGGTCGCGTGTATCATAACCAACAATCTCCCAGGGCCGCTGATTTCATGTGCACTTTTCTCTGACGCATGCAGGTCAGAAAATTCCCATCGTTTAACTAGAAACATATCTGTGAAAACGTGTATCTAGTGAAGAATCAATCTGTGGCCCTGGTAGAGGGTAATCATTATTGTATTTAACATTTAACAAAGGACACGTCGGCAAACTTGAAGGTCTTACGAGAATAGAGCACGTCACACAAAGATCTGTACGTGTAGCTATAATTAAACTTATATATTCAACGGACTGAAATAGTACAACTGGACTAGTGAAATCGTTTTTAGAAATGGAAGTCTTATACAGTGTACCTACTGTCTGTTATGCTTTTATTTCGACCTCCAACCGCTTACTACAAATATTTACAGGAAAATAGGAATTTAAATGGGAGATTCCACAGCATTTCCCCTTTTTTGTCTGCTTCTAGTAAATATACTCCTGGTACGTCTTCAACTGATACTTTTTCTACTAACGAAGTCCGAAATAGTTTTCATTTCCATAGGACGTGATAAGGTGAAGTTATGGAGGAAGCAAAATGTTGTGGAGGAAACACTGGGGAATGGCCAAACCATTTTTATGCATGCAGGCGTCACAATACTTCTTATAAAATTAATTACAAATATGTGAACATTAAATCCCTAACACTGATACATTGAAACGTTATACCGAATTGGTTGAAACATAAATATTCGTATACTTAGTTTCCACACCGCCTCGCATCCACTCCCTGATCACGTAAGGTGTAACAACTCTTCCCAGAGAGTAGGTTCAATTTGCTTTATGGGGGAGGGGCTAAAGCTTTTCTGTCCAACCCTCACTCTTATCTGACAAGCAAAACTTGATTAAAAATTTACTAAAATCAAATGCATACATATGTATATATAGTGCATTTGTGTTAAATATATTCCCAAAAAGAAACCAGAAGAAAACAGCCAAAATGAAATAATGTAATGAGGTCAATGGCGATTCTAAAATGGTTCACTGCTTTTATCTGAACAGTTTTCGCCATGTTTGACAAACTGGGCAGTACTATAACGCCACCTGGAGGAAAATATGATCGTGTCTGTTGCAATAAGGACCTGTCACATTATGATATCAACATACTACATGTAGCTGTATATGACATCTACGTCTTTGTATGTCCACACATGAATCTACATGTATGAACGGATGTATGTGAGCAAAAATCTAATAAGGTTGGTTTTTTAACGTTAGACCTACATCTGTGTTTCAGTCTAGAAAGAGCAACTTGATTATGACTGAGGTAAGCTTATCTGTTGACTGTGTGTAATTGAAGTGAATTTTTGAGAAGTGAAAACTAGACTTAAAAGACTGGCAAATTCCGATGATAAAAACAGTTAAACATTAATAATAATGACATATCAAGTCCAATGTTTGTGACTGTATAAATCTGAGATAAGCTTATCAGTTGATTGTGTATCACGAAAAAGATTTTTTGGACAACATATTTTATTATTACATTTAAAAACTGGCAAATCACATGGCTTACAATAGTTAAAAAAATAAATAAAATATATAAAATAATAATAATCTTTATTGGAGAATCGCAACCCGAAGGTTGAAGTTATACAATTATGTTATACAATTATATATGAATATTCAAGTCAAAGTCAAAATTAAGCATTAATAATTTTGACAAATCTAGTCCATTATTTGTGATACTTGTACAAATGCTGCTTAACAGCAACAGAAATGTGATAACTCATCAGTTACACTGTGTGATTACTGATGACTGTGTAACGGCATATTTTTAAAACATTTTAAAAGAGTGAAACTTACATTTAAAAAACTGCTAAATTCAACAGATTAAAATAGGTAAACGTTAATAACTGTGCGAGATGTAGGCCCTACTGTCATGTTTGTAAAACTTGTACAACTGTGGCTTAATTAGCAACTGAAATAATCTAAAATAAGCTGATCAGTTAACTGTATGTAATGAAAGTAATATTTAGGACAACATATTTGAGAAAACTGATAACATCTATAAAAAACTGGCAAATTCCATGGATAAAAATAGTTTTAAAAATCTAGTCCAATGTTTGTGAAATGTATACCACTTAGGTAAAAAAAAAAAAAAA